CTTACGAAATTCTAAGAATTCTACATTGTTACTAATTTGCATGATTATGTACCATAAGTTTGAGATCGTTAACAATGTTACATGTTTTATTTGAAAAGTCACATTTTATAAATTGAGACCGACCTGTTTTTATACATTTGTAAACCTTATTTAATTTTGAAAAATTTTTCCTATTGACCTAGTTGTGCTCACTCCTTCTAACATTTTTGAAATTTGGTATTGAAGAGAATATTACTCTAGGTGAACATGTGAACTTGAATCTTAAGGAGGATCCGGCTTTGGAGGCATGAAGAATTGTGTATTGGTTTTCAGTTTAAAAGCTTGATGATGGAAACAATGTTAATGTTTGTGTAAGGTTTGGGCTGTAATATTTTATGGTTCAATTATGTTTGTTTTNGAAACAATGTTAATGTTTGTGTAAGGTTTGGGCTGTAATATTTTATGGTTCAATTATGTTTGTTTTGGAACTTTTGTTTAATTAGACAATGTTGGTGATTTTTTTATTTTTTATTTCTTGAACATAGATGTTGGTGATTGATGTTGGTTTAATTTATGACATTTTAATTATATTCTCATTATTTTAATGGTTATAAGTTAGTTCACGTCGTTTTGTGAATTTGGAGCATCACGAAAAATTAATTACACTTTTTTGTCATCACTTTCTTATTTAAAAAACACACTAGTGCCTTAGTAATCCTTCACCACCCATACAAATTTAAAAGTTGTATTTCATGATTTACAAANTTCTTATTTAAAAAACACACTAGTGCCTTAGTAATCCTTCACCACCCATACAAATTTAAAAGTTGTATTTCATGATTTACAAAGGAAACTGTACCAAGTGTCACCATACGAGCAATGATGGGTACATACGATTGCATACCTTTCTCGGCCTTTTGCTTAAGATCAAGGGTACATACAATTGGTTTTGAAACCATTTGATTGTTCATCAACTTTTATGAGGAAAATACATGGTGCAAGGGATCATCAAACCCTGCCATTCTTTCTTCTTGATAATTTCCCATCAAATGATAGCATTCTGCTTGCTTCCATTTCTTTTCTTTTCCCTGCATTTATTTCCATCCATACAGGTCCAAACTGTCGGGAGATAAAATTCCCCTTCCTCCTGTGTAAAGCTACTGCTAGTTTTGGCTTAAACTATCAAGTACAAGAACGTAGTCTCTGTCGTTGTAGGTCCTTCTCCTTCTGCTGAGACAACCCTCTTGTTTTTGTTTGTTCAAGAAAATCAAGTATAATATATACAAGAAAGACAAAGTAAANCTTCTGCTGAGACAACCCTCTTGTTTTTGTTTGTTCAAGAAAATCAAGTATAATATATACAAGAAAGACAAAGTAAAACAGAGCAAAGAATAGGAAAAAGAACAAAGCAAGAAGAATCAACTAGGATAGGCGACTGAATTTTATACATTTTACAACAGAAAATATATCAAAAATAAACAAATGAAGGAGTAATTTAACAACTTGGCCATTCTCAGCCACAATCAAGGCGCCACGAAAATCTAATTTCAAAAAACTAGAAGAATCATAAATGGTACTCCTCAGCTGTGGTTTCAGAGACAGCCCCAGGTGTAGATGCTTGATGGCACTTTGATTTAGGAAAAATGATCTGAACGGCGAGTTGTAAAGGTGGGAATTCTGCAAGCTACCTAGTGCCTGTATTACAAGAACCAAGAGTAACAGAGGAAACAAATGTTACGAGAAGTTAATAAGATGACAGGGCAAGTGATTACAATTTATATAAGATGATAATGCCAGGAAGCACTTCAATTCTACATATGGCAAGAGAACTGTGTTCACTAGCAGGGACACAAGAAGCAGCTGCCCTTTGTCCGCGGTTAATTTCCAGCAAAGAAATGCATGCTTCGAGAATATTAACTGTTTGGTTATATTGTACAGCTTAAAATAATTACAATGTTTTGATTTTGGTGATTCTATCCAATTTTTAACTCCTATTGTTATTATTATTATTTGGAGTAACTCATTTATTTTTCTTAATTGCCATGCCTGCCCCGATTCATCCCAAACATAAGCTAGATCCTAAAGCTCATTACCAACTTCTTTTGCTCCCATCATTCATCCACTCANTATTTGGAGTAACTCATTTATTTTTCTTAATTGCCATGCCTGCCCCGATTCATCCCAAACATAAGCTAGATCCTAAAGCTCATTACCAACTTCTTTTGCTCCCATCATTCATCCACTCAAAAAAGGTCACAACTACTAACATCATCCCCATACAAGGTTTGATCACTTAAAAATTTGAGCAAGTTTAAACAAGTCAAGCGGTGACATTCTTCAAGGGAGGACCAACACGACTGAGAAGAACCAGGGAATTAGTGTAATGAAGGAAAAAATCGATCACTTATTTACACTTCAATCAGAGAAAGTTTTGAATTTCTTTGGAAGTTTCTACATTGTCCGTCTTTTATTCAGACCTTAAAATTACATCTTCTACAGTTCAAAGACCCGTTATGTACTATGCTTTATACAATTAGGTAGAAATAGAGGGGGGGGGGGAGAGAGAATCCCTGATACAAACATATTTTCGAATTCTTTTCTTCTTATTCCCAAATTATGATTTTATTTTATGCTTCCTATCTTGCAGGTAAAATGATTAACAGAGACATGGAAACATTTATACAAATCAAACCTACTATTAGTGGCATCCATGAAGTTCAGTACAAACATCACTTTTTTTTTTGTCACACTACAAGGGGAGCTGGGAAGGATCGAACCCTGCACCTTAAGGTGCGCAACTGGAGTGGTTCACCACTCCGATGTACCCAAAGGTCCAGCATAAACGTCACTTTACAACTTACAAGTCCTGGAAATGAACAAATCATGGGAACTTGTTGCTATTGGAATCAATTAATCATTAATTTGTTCAAAGTCATCATCGATTTTTTATTTTTTTGTATTGATTATTCTCTTACTATACCCCTAATAAGTAGTTCAGTACAAACATCATTTTAAAGTCCTGGGAAAAACATGAATACGAGGGGACTCGTTGCTATCCAAAACTCAGTTTTGACTTACGGTGTAACTTAAAACTACAATATGGAATCTTGAAAAAAAAGTTTAAACCTTCATCTAGTTTAGTTCTAATAAATATGTGGTCGAATCTTTCCTTAAATTCATGTAGCGTTCTAGCCTGCTTATTTAGCCTGTCCTCCTTCCAGCATCCTTATTAAGGGAAAGCTAAACAGGTGTATGAAGCCAAAATCCTAGGTCGTATGCTTTGAGCGACCAACATTGTGGGGATTTCGTCTGTTTACAGCATCATGCATAATCTTATCTAGGAACTTCTGTCACACAATGAAAACAAAAATCATAGTCCCTCAAAAAACCATAATCTCTCGGCCGCCACCTCCCCCCACTCCCCAAGGGCCCACCCCACACCATACTGGTAAAAAATGACACGAATAAAACCCTAAAAGAATATTATTGCAGATTCTGCATCCAAAATGTTAAAAGGTAAGGCAAGTAGGCAGAAGTAATAGTACCTTCTTGATGATGTCCGCTGTTTCCACTTTTTGCTTGTGAGCATTAAATCTACTGGTTCTTCTCTTTAACAGATCTGCTCCTGCAACCACATCTAATCTAAAAGTCTGCTGTATTACAACTCTAGAACAATGACTGTTCTTCTTAGTTCAGATAGCTGCTGATTGCTAAAGTAATTAACTCAGGAGCTGGTCCACATCTTATACAGAAGTTTGCCAGAAGAAATTTGCAACACAATGGTGGATGAGGAAGTCGCACACATATGCAGATGACAGGTATGAGAATACAGGAAAATCCTTTAAGTGAACAGTACACGTAAGACGCGTCAGATGGGACTTACATGAGATTTGTTACAACAAAATTCTCCAATACTCACCACCAAAAGCTGATAAGGTTAATACATCAGTTCTGTCGACATAATGAAAGAATGAGGTTGTCAAACTCTTAATGAAGACACCACGAAGTTGGTTTCTAGAAGAAATAAACCTAGCACGAAGTGATCCATTGGCGACAAGATCACAAACAGAATGACCTTTACATGCTTATTCGGGCAGGAAACCGAATGGGCTGCAAATGAATTGCACTGATATTGTCAAAATAGAGAATGGTTGATGAAGTCAAATGAATCCCAAGATCTTGTGGAAGTTACAAGATCAATTTTTGGGGTCAGTGGTCAGGTTGATAGATCTGCTACCATAAATACTGAAGTTTTGCAAAATTTAGTTCTCGACCTACTTAGGGTTGAGAAAGAAGGATTATATATATCCATATGACACTAATGAGCATACAAAAACTACCTTTAAAAGTCTGTTGTAGACGTTAGAGAGGGCACATGGGACTTGTATATGACAATTTTAGTGAATAACATGATGTAGGAAACAAGGCATAATAAATAACATCTTTCACAAAACAAGTAATGAATAGGGCCATGTGAGTTTTTGTGTGAATGCTAAATCGTCAGCAGCTTTATGTTCTCTTCACCAAACCAAACTGTAACATGGATACGAACATAAGGTTTCTTCTTTACAGTGTCCTTTGCTTTGCAAGTGTACAGCATTACATTTGCTTTCAGGGTTCTCCAAGTGAATATATAGTTCTAAGAGAAACAGAAAAACTCTGTTAAAAAGTAATTGCTGTTCTTACACTCAAAGGTTGCCCAGCNGGTCCCCATCCCATTGTGTCTTTCTTTGCACTGTGACTGTTGAAGTATAAAATCCTTATGTTTCACCCCTTTAATAGCTTAAGCTTGTATATGAGATGATAAACCACATGATATCAGAGCATGAGATTGCGCGTTCAAATCTCACCTCATCCAGAGAAGTATAAGACTTGCACGTGGTCAACCTAAAACCTAGCCCGTGTGGGAGTGCGTGTAAAAGTATATTGACTTATGTAAACAGCCTCTCTAATAGTTTAATATTTCAGCTGAGATGGTTACTTGACAAAGGCAACAAGTCTAGCATTAGCATTGCAGTGAATCAACATGATTGTAGGAAGTTGATTGGNCGGCTTGGAGGTACGACAGAACGATCCTCCTTCACATCTGAGTGATAAAGCAAACTGAAGAGATCTGCAGTACCATCCGAATTCCTTTTGGATGTACTTTGTTCAGCCACGAGCCCAACTGGTGGAGGTGATATAATAACCATATTCATATCTAAAGAACCCTGTTCAAATATAGATAACCTTTGGAAGTAAGCTCTCAGAATTTTTTGATTCATAACAGTTGGTCTAAGAAGACTAAGATCAGAACAAAAGCAAAGAAAACAACTCCAAGGACATCAAATCTAGAAAAATTTCTCACATTATTCCTGGCTGATATGCAAGGACAAGTAATGAACTTGGAAAATGAAATACATGCATAATTACATTTCCTTTCAGCTCCCTTGGCACATGTTGATAATAAAAACTAGGGTACTGGCCTACAGAGATTATCATATTCTGCAACACAACATAACCACCGAGGAAAGTAAGTCCTCCAAGCTCACCAACAGAGGTAATTAAGGCCTGTTTCACTAATTCAATGAGCCATGCTTTCACCCACATTGACAGTAACAGGAAAGACACAGCCTTCAAGATATGTGACTAATCTCAGATGTCCAAAAGAGGAGATACAACAATTGAGTGGTGAGTTCTAACGGGTGGTTACAAACTACAACTCTCATGATAAGATTGTGATAGTTGGAAATTAGTTCAAGGATTGACGAGCTCTTATGCGGCTATCTACAAATGACTACCAATGAGCAGACCTTCAATCACAAAATAAGGGACCCACTCAGTATCAGTAATTTAAGCCAACATAAAAACTGGGTGATTTCTATGGAGTCAAATCATAGATCGTCTAGTGAAGAGCTCCTGTGAAGATGCAACAAGCAACGGTGATTCCCAAATCCTGTTGTCATTATTAAGATCAATAAAGTTGGTTCTGTAAGAGATGGCAGTAGTTTAAGTGGGTTAGATGCGGTAGCCTGAGATAATATAAATTGTGATCCCTTACTAGTAATTTAATAGAGATGCTGGCAACTAAAGAAGCATTCAAATTGGTGAGGGATTGAGGCTTCAGACGAGTAGTCTTCGACTGGAATATAGTCTAAGCTATGGCTCTTGGTGTTTGTGAGTTGAAGTAGTTCAAATGTTGTTACTCCATTTACAGGTCCCCATCCCATTGTGTCTTTCTTTGCACTGTGACTGTTGAAGTATAAAATCCTTATGTTTCACCCCTTTAATAGCTTAAGCTTGTATATGAGATGATAAACCACATGATATCGGAGCATGAGGTTGCACGTTCAAATCTCACCTCATCCGGAGAAGTATAAGACTTGCACGTGGTCGACCTAAAATCTAGCCCGTGTGGGAGTGCGTGTAAAAGTATATTGACTTATGTAAACAGCCTCTCTAATAGTTTAATATTTCAGATGAGATGGTTACTTAATAAAGGTAACAAGTCTAGCATTAGCATTGCAGTGAATCAACATGATTGTAGGAAGTTGATTGGCATATCATGCATTACAAGATTTTTCTGGCCAGATTTGTATCCACTCGTGCCTACCTTCATCAATCAGCCAATGTTCTTATGAAAGCTGCGAGCAACCAATTTTTAATGGTTTAATATCCATGTTAGGAATGTCTGATGTCCACGCACCAGCTTGAAGGGGACTGTTATTTGATAGTATTTAAAGTTGTTTACTTATAGGAGGAAGGTATGTGCTTCTCGTGTGCATAGTAAGGTTTGCTTCGTCTATACAAGAATACTAAGGCAAACTTAGGTCCTTATTTTATCAATTAGCACTGTTACCACAGTCTGGTTGATGTTAGTACAAAGTTAGATTCCTAGGTTTTAAACATGGTTATCAGATGTTTATTACCTCTATGATCACCATTGATGTTCTCAACTCATCTGACGTATCCTTTGCTGGAAGCCACTTGAACATGCAATCAACGTAAAATTTGCATGTAAACCTTAATATCCTTTATGAAGTGCATTGGTCCTCAACTGACCATGATATCATGTTTCACACTTCTACACGTTCAACAAACACTACTGTAGTCAAAACTAGAGGTTTACCCGAGCTCTGCANAGGTAATCAGATGTTTATTACCTCTATGATCACCATTGATGTTCTCAACTCATCTGACGTGTCCTTCACTGGAAGCCACTTGAACATGCAATCAACGTAAAATTTGCATGTAAACCTTAATATCCTTTGTGAAGTGCATTGGTCCTCAACTGACCACAATATCATGTTTCACGCTGCTACACGTTCAACAAACACTACTGTAGTCAAAACTAGAGGTTTACCCGAGCTCTGCAATGCTATGATTTTCCCAAGAGCCAAAGTGATCATACTTTCTTAAGCTTCTCCTAATGGGAAGACAGCTGCAATTATTGTATAAGTTGATGGTATTGTACTCACTGCTGATTACTTAGAGGAGATAGAATACTTGAAAACTTATTTGGCCTAAGAATTTGAAATAAAACACTTGAGATAGGTGAAATATTTCTTCAGTATTAAGGTGGCTAGATCTACATAGGGATCTTCATTTCTCTGCAAAATTGTGTGTTTGATCCCCTCAAAGCGACAGGAATGTTGGGGTGTAAACCAGTTTATACTCCTATCAAGTGAAATCCTAGGTTAGAGGAAATGTTGATAACGCTCTCACTCATTGATAGAGATCGAAATAGAGACTGGTGGGCAAACCTATTTCTTTGTCTCATACTCATCCAGTATAGCATNAACAGGAATGTTGGGGTGTAAACCAGTTTATACTCCTATCAAGTGAAATCCTAGGTTGGAGGAAATGTTGATAACGCTCTCACTCATTGATAGAGATCGAAAATAGAGACTGGTGGGCAAACCTATTTCTTTGTCTCATACTCATCCAGTATAGCATATGCTATCAGGGCCATGAGTCAATTCATGCACTCACCTCATGAGTCTCAAATGGAGGCTGTCCATAGAATTCTGTGTTTCCTGAAGTTGGCTCTGGGTGAAAGGTTATTATTTTCTAGCCATGATCACTAGAAAGTTGAAGCTTATACAAGTGCAGATTCAACCTGTTTGATTACAAACAGAAGATCAATTTCCGAGTATTGTACTTTGGGGGTTGCATAACAAGAAACAATCAGTTGTATCTTGTACCAAATTGACATTTAATTACATTGTTGAAGGGTATTTTTTCACTTCAGTTTATTAGGTCACTAGTACTTCAAGCTCTTGAGCGAGAAAATCCTAATTCACTCTTTCCTTTCACAGCCNCTGTACCAAATTGACATTAAATTATCTTGTTGAAGGGTATTTTTTCACTTCGGTTTATTAGGTCGCTAGTACTTCAAGCTCTTGAGCGAGAAAATCCTAATTCACTCTTTCCTTTCACAGCCCCACTTTCTCTTTCTCTCGTATCCTTTTTCATTATTTGCTTATATAATTTAAATAGGAGAATATAAGTTTTTGGATCTCCTCAATTGTGTTTGATTTTTCATATAAAAGTGAGTTTCATTGTAGGTCTTTCCAAATGTCACCCTTGTCCCTCATCTGAGGTCTCCACTAGTGGCTTCTTTGAGATGCTTTACCAGTGCTGAAATTTTTGCTTGAATTCTATTATCCAATCCAGGAAAATGCTACTTACGAAAATATTTTCTCACATTAAGAAACAAAATTATTGCCAAGGAAAAAGATCCTATACTAAATAAAAATAAATAATATTTGCATTCACTTTAAAGCCCTTCTTCCCGTATCACGCAATAGGCTATAGATGGGTTATCAAAAATGTATTAAAGTATTAGTGTAAAGTAAAGAGCAAGACATGAATTAAAATCTTGGAAGAATTCCCATATCAAGCAACAATAGTTTAACTCAATGAAAGACTGATATTACCCCACGAGGTCTGGTTGTTGGAGGAGTAACTTGTGACATGTATCTATTGAGAATCCCTTCCTCAAGAGAATATTTTCTTGCCTTCTTGGGAATGCCAATTTTGGCTCCACTTTCGACCAGTTTGTCACAATTAGAGCTCTTTTCACCTACTATGTGATTTTGCTTTGTTGAATGCTTAGAGACCCATTTTCTCTCCTGATACCTGGAAAAATCGAAGCAATATACATTAAACAAAGAAGTAGTGTGCTCTATCCATATGCAGGCACAAAAATGAAGTTCAGCGGTCAACTTACTTGGCACGGATAAAATAGTCGATCACACTTCTGTCAAAATTTGGTGGCACTTCTGCTTCCCAATAACTGTTAGACTTATCATTACCCATAGCTACACAAATAAGATAACACGCATTGTCCATAAAGTTTTAGTCATAAGACTGATCAGAAACTCGAAGCAGTTAACACAACTTGAGGAAATGCCTGACCAAAGTTTCATCAATACTTTTCTTAATTTTTTCCATTAAATCAACTGCCAAAAAAGTTGAATGGTCAAGACAAATAGTCAGCTTTCAACAAATAAGTGTCAATTAGAGCTCAAAATTCATCACACGACTGCTATCCTATATTCCTATTTTGGCAACCTCTATCCTTTGTGTGCATAGGTAAAGCTTGATGCCATAGGGCAACAATTTGTATGGCCTATTAGATAGCATTTTCCTACATGATGTCTTCTATTCACTTGGTAGAAATATGAAATAAAAGTTTGCCTAACATCTATATTAGGATAGCAATGAGGGAGAGAGCGAGGGAGAAGGAGAGATCCAACATATTCTTACATTGCATGAAAGCAACCTGCTCCGGTAACCACGTATCCAAAGTTGTAGACCTTACCTATAGTTGCAATTTAGGTCAATGAACATTGGAATTAAGAAAGGAGAACAGAAGCACGTGCAGTCAACAGAATATCAGTGTATTCAATTCAGAATTAAAACGTTAAGTATAATGCGCCAAAAGAATAAAGCTCCGTGCACAGTTACCACTGATATTTTTTATGGCACCACTAACATCTTTTATTCCCTCAAATTTATTTTCATCAAGGTTAATGAGAGTAGTACATGAGAAATGTAGTTTGATATTATTTTTACTTAGGTTAGGGACCCAAAGAGAGCCTGCATCCCACATTAAAAAATATCACCTAAGGCTGGTTTACATGGTCAAGGGGCCTTTTCACTCATTGTCAATTGGTTTAGAGTTGCATGCTCTAACAAGGGGAAGGGAAAAGGTGTAAGGTAAAGATTTTCCTTAGCCAGGGCAATCAGCAACATTTCAATATTATCCCTTTCTTAAAAATCTATAAACTCTAAGGGGTATAGCTTCACAACAACAATAAATGAATTTGAGAAAAAGAAACACTTTATTTCCCAGAAAACCTCGATTAAAACTAAAATACAAAGAATTCAAGTTATAGGTCACCGAAAATATGAGCTTCACTACAAAACTAACTAATGCAAATCTTTAACCATGCTTCCATCTCTCAAAAAATCATCATATTGCAAAGCAAGAAAACCCTCCTAAATTGGTCTCAGCTCAAAATCTTATGATGAAGGATAAAAAAAACTACAAAAAGTAAAATTCCAAGCTACAAATTAATCCATCACAAATATATATTTATTTCATGANTTTCAATATTATCCCTTTCTTAAAAATCTGTAAACTCTAAGGGGTATAGCTTCACAACAATAATAAATGAATTTGAGAAAAAGAAACACTTTATTTCCCAGAAAACCTCGATTAACACTAAAATACAAAGAATTCAAGTTATAGGTCACCGAAAATATGAGCTTCACTACAAAACTAATGCAAATCTTTAACCATGCTTCCATCTCTCAAAAAATAATCATATTGCAAAGCAAGAGAACCCTCCTAAATTGGTCTCAGCTCAAAATCTTATGATGAAGGATAAAAAAAACTACAAAAGTAAAATTCCAAGCTACAAATTAATCCATCACAAATATATATTTATTTCATGAAAATGTTACATGTTTTTCCCAACACTTCAAATTTCGAAAGCATGGCATCCATTTCAAGAAATTATGGATTAGAGTTGTCATCTACTTTCTTTATGTGATCAGTGTTTTCTGTTTCCATTTTCTTTCACGGAAACACAACTCTTTGTGCCAAACACTTCAAAAGTTCAAATTTGCACAGCTATCCCCATGTCCATTTTGGTTCAGGGTTTTCTGATGCTTTTGGAAAATTATTAATCTTTGTTCCAAGCACTTCAAATACTGAAATTATTAATCTTTGTATCACGACTCACAGCTTTTGCAATTATCTCAACCTCAATTTCTTATGCCTAGAACTTTCTCAATACTTGACACTATCACTTACATGTTAAAGAGTTTAAAGGTAGAAACTATAAAATAAGCTCCTATTTCCTTTGAAATATCAACGGTGTATAGTTGAAGCCGCTCTTCTCTGTGGCTCTATTTTCCCCTTTTGGATGTTTGAGAGAGAGGAAATCTCATTACAGTTTTGGGAAGCAGTGTCGCATACACATGGCATAGCCGCAGAGGTTAAACGTGCCAAAAATAATTTTACACATAGGGTATTAACAAGACATTGAGAGTCATTCACTGAAACAGAATCTTCTTCATTCCTATTTTTCTAGGTCACTTCAATCATTTTACCTGTGATTATATTGGCGCTACTCCTTTCAGTGCTTACAAGAAGTTCAAAGAACCAAATTTATCAGTTGCTAAACCAATAACATATCTCTTAACCATGGTTTTTTCCTAATGACAACCCTCAACAAACAAAGTAAATATGAATAAAATACCATTATAGAGCTTTATTCTCTAAAGAAGCAATGCAATAGGTTACCTAAGCTTCACTATGCCACACATTACACTAGATAAACAAAAAACAGTGCAAATTTTTCCAATTTGAACCGTATTAAACTTCATAAGAGAAAAGTTCATCTTAAGCTGCACTGAATCACCACCTACATGGCAGTGTAAAATAATGCTTCACACGAGATCTATTCAACTCTTGCCACATGCAGAGTTAATTGACGCTTCATACAGGCACCATTTCATAAATATGGAATACCAGGTACAAGTTTTCTACAAGAAATATTTAAGGCATAATCACTGAAAACACTGTGGAGTCCCCATTAATAACTGTGATCAAATAAAACAAAAAGTGACCAAAAAATTCAGCATACTGCATGGCTGTAAAGTAGAGAGAGGAAGTAAGAATGTGAAGTGTAAACCTTTGATATATGTACTCCAAGACTCCGATGTATTCCTGAACACTGCATACATATAAATATTCCCAGATTCACACTTGCCCAACGCGGGGCCCTGAAATAAATAATTAAAGCACTCAAATTATTGCTTTGTGAGTTAATTATAAGAAGTGATCANTGAAGTGTAAACCTTTGATATATGTACTCCAAGACTCCGATGTATTCCTGAACACCGCATACATATAAATATTCCCAGATTCACACTTGCCCAACGCGGGGCCCTGAAATAAATAATTAAAGCACTCAAATTATTGCTTTGTGAGTTAATTATAAGAAGTGATCAACTTGTAAAAATTTAACTAAGATGATCAAACTAAGTCTAACTTCTAAGAATAAATTTGAACTTAGATTGGGACTGCTGTTAGAGAGTACTTTCGGTAGAAAAGAAGAACATGGTGGTAGAGCAAGGTAGAGGTCCATGACATGCCCCTTCCCCAACCTACTGTGTCACGAGTAAGGCTATTATATTGAGAGACAGTGCATGAAAAAAATTGATCCACTATTACAGCAGATACTAAATTCCGTCTGGCAACTGNCCTGTTAGAGAGTACTTTCGGTAGAAAAGAAGAACATGGTGGTAGAGCAAGGTAGAGGTCCATGACCTGCCCCTTCCCCAACCTACTGTGTCACGAGTAAGGCTATTATATTGAGAGACTGCATGAAAAAAATTGATCCACTATTACAGCAGATACTAAATTCCGTCTGGCAACTGCTCGAATGGAAATGGAACAATATCCACAGAGAATTAGAAGCAACAATGGAAATAGAGCACAGGGGCACATTTATGGATACAAGACCTCACAAAAATTGGACAAGATTGGTTGGCCCTGCTCACCATCTGAACTAGGTGCACCAAGAGGCATAAGGCTGTGCATATTTATCTTTTGTACATTCAAACATCAGAGATNGAAGCAACAATGGAAATAGAGCACAGGGGCACATTTATGGATACATGACCTCACAAAAATTAGACAAGATTGGTTGGCCCTGCTCACCATCTGAACTAGGTGCACCAAGAGGCATAAGGCTGTGCATATTTATCTTTTGTACATTCAAACATCAGAGATATTTCAATGCATCTTTGTGGAGTTAGTCGGTTCTTTTGATGCTAAATATTTTCTAGGCTAATTTATATAGTTATTATTAGTTATTATTAGGATCATCATGTTACAAAGGATGGAACACCATAATCAGTACCTAGAGAATGAAATTATACATGAAAAGCATATATCACCAATGCGAATGTGACAACCGCATATGAAGTTAAGGTATGTCAAAGTTAGGAAGCTCTATTTGTTTAATTTATTGGCCGAATAGTTGACAAATACTAAGAGTTATTGTGTCACGGATGATGGAATACCATATTCAGGTTCCAATAATAACCTTTCGACAAACTTCCCTCCTCTCCCAATATAAACACCCCTCCAAACATCAAGCACCTCTATGCTCCCAAAACAGTTAGCAACCACATCTAGACNCCACGGATGATGGAATACCATATTCAGGTTCCAATAATAACCTTTCGACAAACTTCCCTCCTCTCCCAATATAAACACCCTCCAAACATCAAGCACCTCTATGCTCCCAAAACAGTTAGCAACCACATCTAGACCATCCTCCAAATTCCCACACTAAATATCATGCTAAAAGCACTCCCTATGTCCACTACTCACTCAGAATTGCAAGTATTTGAAAGTTTCTTCCCCGTTTCTTCTCCAAGCGTTCCATAAACCTACTGCATGTGGCCTGTTAACCTCCAACGTGATCTGATGGATCTGAGTTCCCCATGCTTTCTNACCCTATGTCCACTACTCACTCAGAATTGCAAGTATTTGAAAGTTTCTTCTCCGTTTCTTCTCCAAGCGTTCCATAAACCTACTCCATGTGGCCTGTTAACCTCCAACGTGATCTGATGGATCTGAGTTCCCCATGCTTTCTTATTCCTCCTCCGCAATATATCAGGTGAACTCACTTTCACCACCCCCCCAAAAACAGAAATTCATTCATGGCTTTCCAATGTCAGCAATAATGCACATGTATAATATACAACAAGATAAGCGTCCTCTTAACCAATGTAATATAACGCCCTCAGACAAAAACCGATCTACCATTTAAATTCTTCCCTCTCATGGTGCAGCCAAGGAAAGCAGAGAGAAAAGCAGCNGATGTATAATATACAACAAGATAAGCGTCCTCTTAACCAATGTAATATAACACCCTTAGACAAAAACCGATCAACCATTTAAATTCTTCCCTCTCATGGTGCAGCCAAGGAAAGCAGAGAGAAAAGCAGCAGGTAGAGCAAAAGAAATTGAGAAATGTAGATTAGTCCACCCCAAACTCGGGCAGGAAAAGCAAAGAGTTGAAGAGAAGGTCAAAGTCCAGTTCCTCCTTGCTGGAATGCACAAAACAGTGCAGAAAAATTGCCTAGAAAACCCTAATTTCATCAGTCATATATCAAAAAGATTGCCAAGATTTCAAAATATCCTTATTTAGTTGAACATAGTCCCAAAACAAACCTAACCAAGGAGCAAATAAAACAACCTAATCTCACCAATATGGAAAAACAAACTAACTTATCTTTGACACAAAGAGAAGCATTTGGACTCTGGTCTTATTTTGGTGCCAGTAAACATTTATGAAGACTGTGTTTATGATGATGAATTCTCCCAGATGGAAAGAACTTNCAACCAAGGAGCAAATAAAACAACCTAATCTCACCAATATGGAAAAACAAACTAACGTATCTTTGACACAAAGAGAAGCATTTGGACTCTGGTCTTATTTTGGTGCCAGTAAACATTTATGAAGACTGTGTTTATGATGATGAATTCTCCCAGATGGAAAGAACTTGGTTCCGCCAAGTCAACTATGTCAGCAAAATCCTCATGTTATCAGTAGTTAAGTTACCTTTCCATTTGACAAAAACGCTTTTTGTAATACAATTGGTTATTCAACCCATCGTTGCCTCGAGTATTGCACTCACATTGAAGTCTCCGAAACAACCAAAAANATGGAAAGAACTTGGTTCCGCCAAGTCAACTATGTCAGCAAAATCCTCGTGTTATCAGTAGTTAAGTTACCTTTCCATTTGACAAAAACGCTTTTTGTAATACAATTGGTTATTCAACCCATCGTTGCCTCGAGTATTGCACTCACATTGAAGTCTCCGAAACAACCAAAAATTGGTCTATTATTCATAGAAAGAGTGAGATTGGTGACGATGTTACTCATAAAATTAATGCACAATGGACTAAATGGAGGAATACATCCGGTGTATTATGTGATAAACCCATACTCCTTAAGCTGAAAAGAAAATTCTATAAAACAACATATGACCTGCTATGCTTTATGGTACCGAGTGTTGGGCAACTAAGAAGAAACACGTTCAAAGATTAAGCATGGCGGAAATGAGAATGTTAAGAGGTATATGTGGTAAAACTAAGAAGGATAGAAGTAGAAATGAATATATTCGTGAAAAAGTGGAGGTAACACATATAGGAGATAAATTAAAAGATAATCGACTTAGATAGTTTGGATATATCTATANCAAATTGGTCTATTATTCATAGAAAGAGTGAGATTGGTGACGATGTTACTCATAAAATTAATGCACGATGGACTAAATGGAGGAATACATCTGGTGTATTATGTGATAGACCCATACTCCTTAAGCTGAAAAGAAAATTTTATAAAACAACATATGACCCGCTATGCTTTATGGTACCGAGTGTTGGGCAACTAAGAAGGATAGAAGTAGAAATGAATATATTCATGAAAAAGTGGAGGTAGCACATATAGGAGATAAATTAAAAGATAATCGACTTAGATAGTTTGGATATATCTATAGACGGCCTACTACAGCACCAGTAAGAAATAGTGATATGATAGATATTGACGTAAGCGTAGGAGTAGACAAAAACTAAAATTACTTTTAATTGAAATACTATGGTTTGACAGAAAATATGGCCCCTAATAAAACACAATGGCGAAATAAGATTTATGTAGCCAACCCAAAAATATTGGAACAAAGCTTTGTTGAGTTGAGTTGAGTATTAGGCTAGCTACCATACCTTGTTTCTTACTTCACCAAGTGAAAAAGGTTCCCTAGTACTAAGGTACAGCAACATGAAATTCATCGTCTATCATCCACTGAACCTATACAGTTTACATCAGTAAATGCTACTAGTCTTGAGAGAGACAGATTATAGAACAATATGCCTTGCCATGTGGCTGACTAGAGATACCTCAGAATATGACACTAAATAACCCAACCAGCCCAATCTTCATTTGTTTATGATTCTACTGGCAAGTGCCACTGCCTTGAAAATAATAACTTTCCCTAGAAGAAAACTTCAAATAACGAGAATTCAATAAACTGCTTCCCTGTATGACTTGCAAAGGGAATGTATAAACCGACTCATGTCAGGATAGGCTCACCNTATAGAACAATATGCCTTGCCATGTGGCTGACTAGAGATACCTCAGAATATGACACTAAATAACCCATCCAGCCCAATCTTCATTTGTTCATGATTCTACTGGCAAGTGCCACTGCCTTGAAAATAATAACTTTCCCTAGAAGAAAACTTCAAATAACGAGAATTCAATAAACTGCTTCCCTATATGACTTGCAAAGGGAATGTATAAACCGACTCATGTCAGGATAGGCTCACCTGAACCAAGTGTTTCCACAATCAAGGTAGCGGTACTGATGCATTGTGTATGAAAACCCATCTAATAATCCATGGAGTGAACCTAAGGTTATCATTAGAGAACTTATGGCTAGGACTTGCTCCTCCAGTCATACTGCTTACTNATATGACTTGCAAAGGGAATGTATAAACCGACTCATGTCAGGATAGCCTCACCTGAACCAAGTGTTTCGGCAATCAAGGTAGCGGTACTGATACATTGTGTATGAAAACCCATCTAATAATCCATGGAGTGAACCTAAGGTTATCATTAGAGAACTTATGGCTAGGACTTGCTCCTCCAGTCATACTGTTTACTATATGGAGCTAGACAATCATGACGAGTTAGTTTGTGACCTTCTGGACGATAAACTCTTAAGAGTCTGGGTCATGTATCTACCCTTACCATTATATGCGGCAGTAAAACCTATGAGGGGTTTGTCGATTCATTAGCAGGCCAAGTCAGGCAACTAGAATTACCAACTGCTTAAAGTACAAAAATTTATGCCATTTATACTAATATCTCACTTAATTTCCTTTTATTAAGATAAAACAAAAGAAATCACTAAACCAGTGCATGTGAAACTGTCGGCTGAATGTTACAGTGCAGAATAAGTGCATCTAGATGTTTAAAGTATGTTTTGAAATTATCATAGAATGATCCAGCCCTTATCAAAGACCTCCAGATAATGGATGATAATGATACATCATGAGGTACATCACAGACGGGTTCCGAAAGCATACTTGCAACGACAATCTGCACATTCCCTATTTTCTGGCAGCTTAAGAAGACCCTCCAATATCTGCAAACAGGTTCCAAGATGCTACAAAATTAAAACCTCTAAAAAGTTATTAAAATGAAGCAACCAGTAATTTTAAACCAGTTTTAGACCAGTGATAATTCAACCTGCATCACTAATTAACTAATATTTCATGCCAATGACACAAGACTTGTGATACCAAATCTCACGACATACACATGCAAACTCAAACTATTACATGCTTTGGATGGGAATTACCATCAATACTTCCATGAGTTCAGTACTATAATTATTCTCACTAGCACAGGTAACACTTGAACATATCTCAGAATTATACAAATCAACAAACTCTAATCCCTATTGATCTAGTAATTTTCTTTCTTAATTTGTTTTTGAGGTTGAAAGCTT